TATTAGTAGAGAGAGAGAGAGAGAGAGAGGGAGAGATGTATGCTTCGGAGGCTGGAGGGATGCGAGTGTTTGTAGAGAGAGATGCGAGTGTCTGTAGAGAGAGATGCGAGTGTCTGTAGAGAGAGATGCGAGTGTTTGTAGAGAGTAAAAATAGAGATGTGAGCGTTTAGAGAGAGAGAGATGTTTACAGACAGAGAGAGCGAGGGTGTGTGTTTATATGGAGTTGAGAATGGCGCCATTGTACATGGGTTTTCGAGCAGTGTATAATTGGCGGCAAAGTGGACTTTTCAATATATTTACCCTGTAGACTAGGTGAATTATCATATGTGGGCTCTCCATAAATACGTGGTAAAGTGGGTTGAGGGTGGAAGCGTTAAATGGGAAAAAAGAAGGGGGTGAAATAAATCATTTCCTTTTAAACTGTTGCTGTACGTTTTGGCGAACTTTTCGTGCGAATTTTTCGCGATAAAATTTATGAAAGGGAAAAGCTTATAAAAAGTTGCAACAAAAAAAAATATAGAATTATGGTGCACCTAAAAATATCTATTGTAAAAAGCAAGTTGGAAAACAAAAAAATATATGGTAAAATACAAGTTAGATAACCCTCTAATTGATTTTCTCGTCATTTAGATGTATGAATAAAAATATTTGAGCACCAAACATAATGCATTTTGCATTTTATTATTTGAATAGTCTATTTCCAATATTTTCATATATTTATGGATCTATTTAATTTAAGTCATTTTTTAATTTAAAATTTTATAATTAGAGATTGAAAATTAATTATTAGGCCATCCTAATAACATTTTGCGCCAAAATTACATCTTATTGGATTATGGAAGTGCACCTTACTTTTATTGTTTAAGGTTGCAATCTTATGCAAACTACACCCGTTACAAAATGCTTTTTGGTTGTCTTAGGTGGAGATTGGAGAGTAAAATTAATTTTTTTCATGCAAGGCTGTATCTAAAAAGAAAAGAGCGTGACTTGCATAAGGTTAATCAAAAATAAGGTGCCCCACCAATTTTATAATAAGATATAATTTTGATGTTCAAAATTTTTAAAATGTCATGAGAATCTATTTTTATATATAATTATAAAATTTTAAAACCTAAAAATGATTTAAATCAAGTAGTTTTATAAAATATAAAAATCTATAAAATGCACAGTCTATATAATGTGTCGCAAGATATACTATTTTTTGAACTAGAAATTTTTTATTTTATTTTTACATGTATTCATACATCTCAATGCCGAGAAGATCAATTACAGGGTTTTCCAACTTCAAAAGAGTATTTTACTATAGATTTTTAGGTGCGCATTAATTCTATATTTAAGGTTGCAACCTTATGCAAACTTTTTCTAAATGAAAATGGTTTAATAGGGCTGCAGCCCTCTCATGATTACTAAAACCTCACCTCAACTCTCACGAAAAATTATACTTCTGGCATTGGAAAACTTTCAAACCGATCATCTCGACCTCAACCATTATAGTTGTGAAATAAACTTAGGAATTCAAACTCTAAAAATAATATATATTGCAACACATTGTCTAGACCATCCATTTCAGTCTAAAAATAAGTATTCACAAATCTCACATATTTGTACAATTTTATGAGCTTCAAATTTTATAGTCAAGTTTGAAATTGACTCTAGGGCCATCATGAAGATTTATAATATCCAAAGTGCGTTTCGGAAAAGTTTCGAGGTGAAGCTTTGCTTTGTTTCATAAAATCGAGGCTTTTTTTATTCTGCATCCCATAAAAGTACCAATAACTTATATTTTTCTATTTATCAAATAACACCAATGATATAAATTTATCGACTATTCTGTTTATTATTATTTCTTCACATCTAAAATACTAACTATCAAATCTAAGGATATTTGTGCCACCTGCCATGGGTTCGGAACTACAATTTCTCGATCTTTTTTATATTTTCTACATGTGCGGGTCTTCGAACATGAGTTTTGAGCCATCATTTAAAAAAAAAAAAAAGTGTGAAAGTTTTAAACCTGCTATTTCAAAAAAAAAAAAACAAAAGTTTAGGTTAAAATTATGTGAAGGTCATATTTTTTACACAATACTACATTTTGATCCATATCTTGATTATAAACACCTTCTTTGTTTGGATGAATAACATAGTTGTTTGGGGTGTTTTTGTATTAGAGCACCCTAACACCAATTTTGTCAGATAAGGGGAATATAATTGGATCATGTAGTGGCAATCCGTTCCCAAAATCATACTTAAAGTGGGCTTATACATAAACTAATATACCCCCAGGAAATCTCCCAAAGGTCAGGTAATTATGATATCATGAAACAAGTATAAAGAAAAAATAAATTTGATAGCATAGGTGATGCACGTAGAGCATGGAAGATATGGCAAAATTACAAAGGAGCCCTAAATATCGGTACCATATGGACTCGAAATTTTTAATAAAGGTGGGAAAATCCTCCAAAGCCTGGATTTTTAAATTGGGATCAACCAAGCTACTTTTTTTCCATTGGGATGAAAAAATATATTTTCGTTACCGTCTAGATCACTCACAATAAGTTATTTTACAATATAACAACTTCAAATAAAATATAATAAAATAATGACGCGGGATCTAATGGTCAACCTTTAATCTCAACCGAAAAAACAGGTTTGGACAAGTCATATCAATAGAAAATTAACCCCTTTGATAAAAAAACTTAAACCCTAGGTAAATATTCATTTGGCAACCTAGTTTGAGAGAGATGCTTATTTTTTCATACCACAACCCTATAAACTAAACCCCACTAAGAGATTAGGGATCATGAGAGAGATGACAACTCTCAATAGTATTTAAAAAATCGGGGAGTCGAACCGGACTCGTCTGGTTCGACTCGGGAACCGATACAGCTCGTGCCGGTTCCAATACAAAACCGGGAACCGCCCGGTTCTAGAGAATAACCGTCGGTTCCAATCCGGTTCAGCCCCGTTCCCTTTCTACACGCGTGCGACACGTGACGTGTGAGGTTACCCCAATATTTATACATAAACATTTTAATTTATATTACATAAGTATTTATGTAAACAATATAAAAAACATAAAAAAATAAAAAAGTTAATTTTTTGTATAGCAGGTAATTTTTGTTATATAGTGGTATAATTATTTTTTAAAATACTATGAAAGGCATAAAAAAATAAAACATAAATAGTTTATTCTATTTGAAATCTCCATCTTTCTACTAACATTCTCTTTCACTAAATTTATTATATAAACCTAAAAAAATAAATTTTTGAAAATTTGAAGTGTTATTTCCAAAATTTGTACGCATTTTATTAATTTTTACATTGATAACCAAGTTTTTTATTTTATTTATTAATTTTTACATTATAAATCATGTAATGTACTATTTTTTTTACAGTTGTCAATAATACATTTTAAATTAGATAATATTATAAAATATTTTTAATTTGTTATTATTTATCTAATAAATAAATTATAAAATGTAAACTAATAATTATAATTTTAGTATATAATATTATAATTAGTTAGGTTTTAATAATTTTGGATTATAGTTAGTTAGAATGTAATAATTTGGATTTTTTTAGCCGATTAGGGTTTTTTGTCAAAACTATATTTTAATGGACATTCTTTCATTGATTAGTCTACTCTTTATTATAGTCCATGTATAATTATATATTTTATCTATGATAATTCTATGATTTTTCTTTTATAGACTTGCCTTACCACCCGAATTGGTAAACGTCCATAATGTCTTCAATGTAACATCACTGCAAAAATATCAGCCCGACCCATCTCATATCTTGAAATATGAACCTTTACTGATCAGGAAGGACCTATCTTTCATTGAGCAACCAATTTTGATACTGGATAGAATGGTGCAAGTGTTACGTAACAAGGAGATTCATTTGGTCCGTATATTATAGCAGTACCATTCAAGAGAATAGTTGACTTGGAAACGAGAAGATGATATCAAAGAAAAATATCCCTATCTATTTCAGTAATCAGGTACACAAATTTAGATGACTAAATTTCTTTAAAGGGGGAAGAATGTAATAATGCTATTTTTTAAAAAAATAAAAAATAAAAATAAAAAAGAAAGAAAATAAATTTTTAATAAGTGATGGTCCTTATGAGCATGATGGTCCTTATGGACCATCGCTACTTTAAAAGGCTTTTACCTGGTTTAAGCTTTTGCTCTTTGCCACGTCCTTTAGTGGACGTGGGCTTTAAGTGTTTAAGATGTAATTTAACTCTTAATAAAAGATTATAATAAGGTGTCGTAAGAATTTAAATAGGAGAAGTGAGGACTCCCACCCTAAAAAATTTTGAGATCTCTCTATCTCTAATCGAAACGCAGTGAGCTCTTTTTCTCTCTAGCCGAATTTTTATCGGAAGCTCCCTCTCAATATTTTAGGTAAGTGACTTCATTATCTTGAAAAATAATCCGTTATTTTTTTAAAAAAATTACAATGAAATGAAAATAATATCTTTTAATAAAAATGTGATATTTTATTTCTGTTAGAAATTTTAAATGTTGTAAATTCTTAGAAAAATAAATTTATTTATTTTTCTTGTCTATTGTTATAAAATTTTAAATACTATAAAATTATTAGAAATAAATGTGATATTTCTACTTTTAGTAAAATTGTGAGATTTCTTTCTACTTTTTTTGAATATTTAGACATTGTAAATTTCATGTGCAAATGACTGCCTTATTATTTGAAAACTAATATTTTTGCAACTGATTATAGCATTGTTTGTGAAATGTTTATTTGCTAATTGATATCCCATAAATTGTGATAATTCTGTATTCATAAATTTTTATAAGAGTTTTTCTATACATATTAGATTGGCATCTATGCCATAATGTTTTTACGAACTGCTACCTTTCTAAATTTGAGCCCAAAATATTTGACTGGTTATTTTTTAAGTGTTATTGAAAGTGATTGTTATTAATGGTTTCAGTGAAATTCATATTAATAACTCCAGTGATATGTTGAGCACATGATATTGCTACTTTCGAAGGTTTAAAGAGATTTAAAAATACTTTAAGTATGCAAGCGGACTCATTCGGTTCCCCGGCGAGGTATAAGTGGACCTATCCGGTACGTCAGTAAGGATTAACGAGACTCATCTGGTATGCCGGTGAGGTATAAGTAGACCTGCAGGGATTAAGTGAACCTATCTGGGATGCCGATAGGGATTAAGTGGACCCATCAGGACGCTGATGGGTTATATAGGTGACCTACTTGGGACGACAGTAGGGTAAATTGTAAAATCATTTGAATTATGCACTGTTGTTAAAATGTTATATGCATTTATATTATTTGGATTACACTTAATTATGCATTTTTTAAAGTGAAACTATTAATGCATTCCTGTTAATAGATATCATTTTTTAAATGTTGATAACTTTCAACCATGATTATTTTTAGGATTATGACGATCACTTACGAAGTAGCCAAACTCATCAAATTATGGTAAACATTTTTCAGGATAATTGCAGTTTCATTTTGAGTGCTCGTCAGGATCAACTCTAGAAGATATTGTAGTTGTGCTTAAACTCTCTTTTGTTACTTTGTAAGAATTTAAATTTGTCTTATCAAGAGATATATATATGTGTTTTGACCAGCGTTTTAAAAAACGCCGAGTCGAACCGGACTCGCCCGGTTCGACTCGGAATTAGGGAAAAGGGACCGGATCGGTTGAAAAATCGGAAATCGTCCGGTTCTAGAGAGAACCGGACGATTCCGCACAGTGACTCGCCGATTCACTGTTCGGAATCGGCGAGTCCGTACGGATTTTATTTTTTATTTTTTTTATTTTTATTTTTATTTTTTTATTTTTTTTTGTAAGCCATGATAGATTTTTTTGTAATACTTGATCGATTTTTTTGTAATCCATGATCGAATTGTTTTTGTTTTTTTGTAATCCATTAT